TCCTCCTCTTGCTAGGCCTGCAACCCAGACCTGGTGTGTCTAGGTCTCCGGGGGGAGGGTCTCAGCAGCACGGGCAAAGGGGGGTGTTCCGAAGGGACAAAGCCCGATCCCTGCTTGGCCAGGCGGCGCTGCTGCTCCCGGGCGCTGGGCGAGACCACCGCAAGCGAGCGGGGGAGGATGCAGGATGCGGGATGCAGGCGCTTGGGCCAATGGTGGTGCGGGAAGACAAGTTGGTGCCATGGCAACAGCCAATAGCAACTCGGGGCGGGGACCCGTGAGGACCGCGGGGCGTCCGGCCTCCTCCAGGGCTCAGGGGCTGTTGGGGTGGTAGCACTGGGATTGGCAAACCCCTTACCAAGAAAAAAGGGGGCGCCCTGAAACCAAAATTTCATGCAAAGCATCGAAATGATAAAGATGACACCAAAATCTCGGGGGAGAGAGACCTCTCAACACACCCGCTAGGTTTGAAGGTGTCAAGACAGCAGGGACTTGGTACAAGCAGAGCCAGAGTACCCCGAGGTCCTCAGTGACCTGGGACTTGGAAGGCTGGGAGACGGGCAGGCACTCTTGGCACCCCCACCGCCATCCCACCACCTGGCAGAGCATCAGGACCAGGGCCTGCCTGTCATTTCCTGTGACAGTTCCTTCTGTGTCTCTGTGTTCCTGTTTCTATCTCCCCTAGATCACTCTCCATCCCTGACTCCCTGGTGCCCAAAGGGACGCCCTTAGGCATTTAACCGGAAGAACCTAGGGCTGGAGCGATGGCTCAGTAGTTACACTGCTCTTTCTGTGAACACAAGTTCGGTTCCCAACATTCAGGTCCAATGGCTCACAGCTGCATGAACTCCAGTTTCTACACCTCCAGAGACTGCCAGCATCCACATCACACACACACACACACACACACACACACACACACACACACCACACCACACACACACTCTCCAGTCTACAGTTTCTTAACAGTCCCTTGGCTGCCAGCTCCACTCATGGGACAGACATAAAGTGTCAGTGCTGGGAGAGGGGCTATGGTCTACTGTGGTATTTTTCCCAGAAAAACCATAGAACTCTGCCCTCTGTGGGTATAAAGGAATCACAGGGCCAGGCAGGGGAACCCCACACACCCAGTATGAAGGCAGTAGCAGTCAAGGGCACCTAATACTTCAGGTAGAAGGCTCATCAGGGACCTGCAGTTGCAGTAGCAGGACACTCCAGCTAGCTGGACAGTGGCATCCAGAGCTGGACTCGGGGAGGAGGTGGCAGAGGGGCACTTGCTGGAGGTGGGGAAGCTATTCTTTATGGCTGTCATGCCAGCACTGAAGCTGAGGCAGGGAGATTACATGGCATTTGAGGCCAGCCTGTGCTAAGGTGAGATCTCGTCTCAAAAATAAAAGGAGTGAGCCGGACGGTGGTGGCGCACGCCTTTAATCCCAGCACTCGAGAGGCAGAGGCAGGCAGATCTCTGTGAGTTCAAGGCCAGCCTGGTCTACAGAGCGAGTGCCAGAACAGCCTCCAAAGCCACAGAGAAACCCTGTCTCGAAAAATAAAATAAAATAAAATAAAAGGGGTGAAGCAGCATTGGCATGGTGCACCAGCCAGCTTAAGGGCCAGGAGGGGAACGTGCCTGGCACCAAGAAATGAGTGGGACTTGGTCCTGGCCTGGTGGGTGTCTGTTGGTGCAGCACTGGAGTGGGAAGGGGGTGTGGGGTTCAGCCAGGGCAAGCCATCAATGCTGAGAAAGCTGGGAACGCCCTCATAACTCAGTTCAGACTTGAGCAGGGCTGGCTGGAGTTGGGTGGGATACAAAACACAGCCTCTTGGCTTCAGATCTGCATCCACTCCCTGAGTGACCTTGGGACTGCCTGTCTCTGGCTTTGGTGTCTACCTTGGCTGGTAGTCCTTATAGAATAAGTGCAGTTGACTCTGTTTTCTCCGGAACACCACTTTGCCAGGTCCTCTCACACAAGGGCTGGTGGGGAGAAGGAAAGACTGGCCAGTCCCACACGGAGAAACTGAGGCTTGAGCTAGGAAACACATTGCTTCAATTTACACCTGAGACCCGGTCAGGCCTCTGGAGAGGCTCAGCTTCCTCCTCTCTTCTCTTCTCAACTACCAGAGGCCTGGCCCGGCACCTGCTGCATTGTGCCTAGGCCTCCCAGCTCCGGGGTACTCCATGCTTCCTAATGGCTACAATGTCCCCTGGGACCTCTATTTGTGACAGTGCAGAGGTCACTGAATCTCCAGTCTGATGGCTGCCGGTGTTCTCTCGGGGTCCCGCCAGTCCATAACCCAAATTATGCTCCACTGGGTGTGGCGTGGGCATAGAGATAGCTAGCTGCATGACAGACGGTGCTCTTCATTAGGGCACGGCTGTGTGCTGGGTGACAAGGCACAGCGCTGCCTGGGAGGAGACAGCTGGCGCTGGAGCACACTCATGGACTTCAGTTTCCCCAGAGGGAGCAGGTAGACAGTGCAGCCCCTCCCGAGACCCCCAGCACATAAGCGCTTCTTTGGCTCAGTCACGTGACCTCAGGCCGCTTAGTTACGCTCCAGCCTCAGTTTCCCTTTACATGGCAGAACTGCAACCTCAGGAATGTCAGTCAGTGGACACTGAGCAGGTAGATGGGCCCTAGCTCCGTATTGTCCAGAGGGAAACTGAGGCCTAGCAAGGTGCAGGGCATGGTCGGGCCCAGCGTCTGGCTGGCGCTGGCCCTAAGCTCGGAGTACCCCAGTTGCAGCCCTCTACCGCCAGTCTCTAGAGGAGAGAAGGGAGGAGTGAGGGTCTCCCACAGAGGTACGCTTCTGCAAGGAAGGTCTGCGCCTGCGCAGGACGGGGGGAGGGGTCGCTGCAGCACAGGGGAGGGGAGCCCAGCCCCAAGCACTTGCCCAGGCGGTTTCCTTGGCAACTGTCTCCAGAGCAACTATGAAAGACCCCCGACCCATCAAGTAGACTTGCTCCAGCCTGAGTGTCCTCACGCTGTCCCCAGCGCCGCTGTTCCCAAAGTCAGAACCCCACCTGGTTGTACCCACACTCTTGTCCCCAACCAGCACTTCCTGTACCCTACCTGGTCCCCGAAGAAGGCTGAGTGCAGGAGGCTTAGGAGCCCCAAAAGCCCCATGGAGCCGCAGCTGCTGGACAGCGCGGGCCCCGCCCTCGGCCGCAGGGATGGAGGAGGAGGCCGGGAGTATTGCGCCTGCGCAGACGGGGTAGGGGTTGCCACTCCTCTGGGGAGGGGTGACTGGAGACTCTTGAGCATGGAAGTGTAAGCTCGGGCCCCATCATATACGCATCCCTGCTGAGTCTGGGGCACCAAGGATTTGAGGGGCTCACATTGAAAAGGAGGGGGCCAATGAAGAACCGAGGTGTGTGGGAGCTAGAAGCGCCACCCTGTGGCTGGGTCACCTTGGGCCCCGCGTGTGTATAGTCAGTCACCCAGTGCGTAGATACCTCAGTGCCCAAGATTCAGTAGTCATTGAACACTTGCTGGGTGCCAGCCAGAGAGCTGTGGGACGGGCATGAAGGGGGCCGGCTGGATGGGGACACTGTCAGAGCTGAGCCCATCATGTAAACAACACATACTGCGTACCCCACCTGGTGCGGTGGACACTGGTCTAGACCCTCGCCTTTGGCTACTTAACAATAAACCAAAGTCAAAAGCCTGTAGGGCAGCGGCAAGCAGGCCTTTAATCTCTGAGTTCGGGGCCAGTTTAGTTTAAGAGTTTCAGGACGGCCAGGGCTACAGTGAAGCCTTGTCTCCAAAACAAAAAGAACCTTCGAGGTCAGATGTGGTGCATTTGGAGACTGAGGCAGGGCTGCCATGCATTTGATCCCGGTGCCGGGAGAGGTAATCTAGGCCAAATGCTTGGCAGGGAGTTACAGAAGGCCGTGTGTGGCAGGCAGGGCCCAGGGACTGAGAACAGTGAGGATAAAGGGAAAGGGATGGATCAGATGCAGATGGGCAATGGATATGGAGAGAGAAACCGTAAACGACTGGCCCCCGCCCCTGCCAGGAACTGAACTGGGAGGGAGGTGAGGCAGCTCGACAAAGCTCTAGGTGGTGGACATGTCTGTGTAAGCCAGGGATAGATGCCAGAGGAAAGGCTGCAGGGGGCCCCCTGTAAGAGAGGTCAGGCCTGGGTTGCCCCTCTCCCATACACCTCCTAGGGATCCAGGGCGGCACCAGCGGCAGGAAGCATGTGCAGAGGACCTATGTTCAGTCCCCAGGACCAAAAGCTGTCGACAGCAACCCCCATCGCATACCCTCCCTCACTCCAGAACAGCCACATATTCCAAAGAAAGACTTGGGGTTGTCCTGAGGCAGGATGACAGAAGTTTCCAGCCACTGTCTGGATCCCCCCCCCCCCCCAAAGACCGAGCTTTGCTGGCTGCTGTCAACACAGCCAGACACCGGAGGCAGAGACAGGGGCATGAGTTGGTTTCCAGGCCTGCTTAGATTAAATAGTCACAAAAGCAGACAGATGTCCCCTCCACCTGAAGCTCTTTCTGCAGCTCCAGGTTTGGGTGTGTAGGATTTGGTGATGGCTGTCTCCAGACCACCACCAGTAGGTGTGGTGTGTGGCACCTGCTAGCTCAGGACCTGGGAGATGGCAGGGTCAGGAACCAGAGTCGGAACACCTTCAAAATATGCAGGAAGCACTGCAGCCACCACCGCAGGGGTCCACCTTGGCCTCCCACAGCTGCTCTCCAGGCAGATGACTGGCTGTAAGGTGAGCCGGCCCTGTGCACATGCACTTATTTCAGGCTGGCTCAGATCTACCTGTGGGCCCGCCCCATCTCCCCAGAGTCACACACACCCCAACCTTCACGTTCAGCTCTGTGCCTTACTCAGCACTGTCCAGGAGCTGCACCCAGGGAGACAGTCAGTCCTCAGCCCTGACTGCCAGGCCGCTTGACTGAGCCAATGGAGGAAGGCAGCAACACCGCACAGGCCCTGGAACCCCCCCCCCAGCGGGGCCACCAGAAGCAAGCAGAATCCAGGTACTATACACCAGTCTTTATTGGCCACAGTTACTTGAGGGGGATGAACCGGGAGGAGTGGGTGGCACCGATGCCAGGCCGGCCATGCTTCACCGGCTTGTAGGTGATTGAGAACTCGCCCAGGTAGTGGCCGATCATCTCTGGCTGTAGGTTAGATGAGGAGAGCAGGGTATGAGCAGCGGCTCAAAGGGGGAACCCAGCCCCGCCGCCCATTCCCGCACTTACTTTTATCTCGACCTGGTTGAATGTCTTCCCATTGTACACACCGACCATGCTGCCCACCATCTCTGGCAGGATGATCATGTCCCTCAGGTGGGTCTTCACCACCTCGGGCTTCTCCATGGGCGGCGCCTCCTTCTTGGCCTTTCTCAGGCGCTTCAGTAATGAGTGCTGCTTCCGCCGCAGGCCGCGGTTTAGCCGTCGCCTCTGCCGGGCGCTGTACAGCTGCATCAGCTGCTCGCTACGGGGAGACCACGAGGGAAGCTCAAGCCCCGGGAGATGGAGACCCCGGGCCCCCGCCGGGCAGGAGGCTGA